GAACTGACAATCAGCATTAAGGTGTGAAAACTGTCACATGTCTCTCAGGTGTAAATCTTCTAGTAAAAAAGGAGGAAGTTGAGGTAAACAGTGGGAATCCTGTCATAAATCTTCCAAGGGTGAATTTTCTATGTGATCGGCTAGAACAGAATTAGCAGGGGGGGTGGAGTGAAATCATGTTGGGGTAAACAGAAAGTGAGATTAAGGAATGAATGGATAAGAAAGCTCAGACATGAAGAAAAAGACAGAGAGAAGAACAGGACAGTGTTTCACAATAGTCCCGTAGAACTCTTACCGCTGGGGAAATTATTTTTGACTGAACAGGAGGCACATAATGAGGAATTTGGAAGAGAAGAAGAAGAAGAGATTGGATTTATACCCCACCCTTCACTACCCAAAGGAGTCTCAGAGCGGTTTACAAACTCCTCCCCCTCCCCATAACAGACACCCTGTGAGATAGGTGGGGCTGAGAAAGCTCTTTCCAGAACTGTCCTTGAGAAGAGGAGGAGGAGATTGGATTTATATCCCACCCTTCACTACCCAAAGGAGTCTCAGAGTGGTTTACAATCCCTTTCCCTTCCCCTCCCCACAACAGAGACCCTGTGAGGTAGGTGGGGCTGAGAAAGCTCTTTCCAGAACTGTCCTTGAGAAGAGGAGGAGGAGATTGGATTTATATCCCACCCTTCACTACCCAAAGGAGTCTCAGAGTGGTTTACAATCCCTTTCCCTTCCCCTCCTTATTCACAAAGAGGAGGGTTGTGGATTTATACCCCACCCTTCACTACCCAAAGGTAAAACTTGTGACTGACCGAAGGTCACACCAGCAGCTACATGTAGAGGAGTGGGGAATCAAACCCGGTTCTCCCAGATTAGAATCCACGCTCCTAACCACTATACCAAACTGGCTTTCCAGTTCTCCACATAGGACAAACAGGTGAAACCCTATGCCAAAGGATAAATGGACACAAAACTGATAAACTGTAGGAGAACTACTGCTGCAAAAGAGACTATTTGGTTTGGCAACTGTATCAATTGAACACACTGAAGCATTAGCATTTGACCTGAAGGAATTGGTGACAAAATTTGGAAAGCAGAAGGCAGGCAAAATGAGATTTTGTTCTGCCTTAAATGAAAACATTCAAGAGACTTGAATTTTAACATCACCATTAACAGGATTATTCAAAATGATTTGTGTGCTAAAACTGTTTTCTGTTTGAGAAAGAAAATCAAATATTGTTGAATTAGTTATTCTCACTTAAATTTTTTTTTAACAATTTCAAGTTTTGTGCTTTTCATGTTTCCTACAATTCATCTGTTTTTGAAAATGGGTTAGCAGTGTTTGCGGGGGGGGGAGGGGGGTTTGCCTAGGGCGCAAAAAAGCCTGGCACCGGCCCTGCTTTGAATGTTCATACACTCATAATAACACTCATAATAATACACGCCAAGCATGATTACTGTTTTAGGTAAAGGTAAAGGTTCCCTTGCGCAAAAGCCAGTCGAGTCCGACTCTAGGGTTGCGGTGCTCATCTCCGTTTCAAAGCCGAAGAGCCAGCGCTGCCCGAAGACGTTTCCGTGGTCATGTGGACGGCATGACTAAACACCAAGGCGCACGGAACGCTGTTACCTTCCCACCGAAGTGGTCCCTATTTACCTACTTGCAATTTCTTGCTTTCGAACTGCTAGGTTGGCAGGAGCTGGAACCAGAGACGGGAGCTCACTCCGTCATGCGGGACCCGGGTCTCAAACTGCTGAATTACTGACCTTCCACAGCCTGCAGTTCAGCGTCTTAACCACTTGAGCCACCGCAGCTCAACTAGTGATTATATATATTGTTTTAAATCTGTTGAGAGCCACTCCGGCCGTCTTTAAATACAAAGGTGGCTTTTAATTTATTGGTGTGTCCCGTCTCCCCCTTCCTGTTTTTGGTCATATTATGATTCTAATATTGGTTGCTGTTTGTTTCTGCTGATCTTTTTAAAATCCCATTTCGTTTTCCTTGTTGGCCTGGCTGGTGGCTGTATTCTTGTTTCAGATGGTGCTGCTGTCTGGATTGGCTTTTGATTTAATGACTTTTCCAAGAACTGCCTCAGGCCCCGGTGGCAGAGAAGTGGCACATAAATATTTTAGACTAATAAATATTACAAACCCCCGATTTATAGGGGCTTTTTGGGATCTTGAAGGGGCATGGGAGAGCATTTTAATTCCATACCGAAAAGTTGCTGCTCCTAGTTAGAAGGAAAAGAACATAGGAACATCAGAAGATCCCTGCTGGATCAGACCAATAGTCCATCCTGTCCAGCCTCCTGTCTCACACAGTGGCGAAACAGTTCCTCTGGAGGGCCAGCAACAGGACGTTAGGGTCGAGGCAACATCTGGGGAAGGCCTCAGAGTCTAAGCCCTGTTGTTGGCCATGCAAAGGAACTGGTTGGCCACTGTGTGAGACAGGAGGCTGGACAGGATGGACTATTGGTCTGATCCAGCAGGGCTCTTCTGATATTTTTACAATGCATTCCTGGACCAATCTGTTATGATGTAGCCATATTACCTTTACAAAAATGCCCTCCTAAATAATTACATAGTTTGCAAAATGCCGGGACCAAGGGAACCCTCCTGACCCAGGCCATTCCGCAGGGTGGGGGCCCCAACATAGAAGGCATGTGTATGAGCAGTTGTGGATCTTGTCCATCTGGAGGTTGTTACTTCCCATTCTGTCTTTTTGATTGTTAAAATATAAGCATTTGAGGGAATAGAGTTTTTGAAAGACATGAAGATTAATGTTGTTGTGTTTTGTTTTGTGTTGTTTTAAGTAAATAACCTTGCAAAAATTTAGGTCCTCTTCAATTTCTGAATGTTAGGCTGATGGTAATGTCCTCTTTGAAAATTTAACTTGCATTGTAGAGAAAGGCTTTGTAATTAGATACAGTAGGGAAAAAACACATTACTTATCCTCATTACTTTTTATTTAGTTATTTGTTGTATTCATTTATACTCGCCTTTCACCCCAATGGGGATCGAAATTGGCTTACATCATTCTCCTCTCCTCCATTTTATCCTCACAACAACCCTGTGAGGTAGGTTAGGCTGAGAGAGTGTGACTGGCCCAAGGTCACCCAGCGAGCTTCTGTGGTATGAGTGGGGATTACATTATATGAAGGAGAGATCTAATATTTAGATTCTGAAATGGTCTCAAATCTTTTGATAATGTGTTTGGGTTATTTTTAGGGTTACCAGGTGTCCTCTTTTTAGAGGACATGTCCTTGTTTTTTCATGTCCGTCCTCTTTGGGGCCCTTTTTAAAAAACTGATGAAAACGTCCTCTTTTTGGGTTGGGAGGCTGAGCCTGTTTTGCCCTCTATAGTTCCCCAGTGGAGGCCAGCTCCAGGTGAAATAGCAGGGGCACTTAAAATGAGATTTGTCGTAGTGATCAGTCGTTTGAAGTAGTCAGTCGGGGGATATGTCCTCTTTCTCACTTCTCAAAATATGGTTACCCAGGGCTTTTTTTTTTGTAGAAAAAGCCCAGCAGGAACTCATTAGCATAATAGGCCACACCCAACAGCAGAAACACATTAGCCTATTAGAAAGACAGCTCATTAGCATATTAGGCCACACCCCATGCCTTCCCTTGGCTTGCCC